CTGAAAGGTTTAGTCAGGAGGAGAGAAGCCATTGGGAAACCATGATGGCTGTCTTCAAGAATTTAAAGGTGTTCCCATTGAAGAGGGATTAGACTTCTAACTGGCCTCAGAGGATAATAGAGTTATAGGTTTTGAGTTGGAAAGGGCCTCTGAGGCCAACAACTATAACTTCTTCATTTTACATATTAGGAAACTGAGGTTGGATGTTTAAGTGACTTATGTAAGGTCACATAGCCAGTAAGCATGAAGGCAGGATTGTAACCCAGGTCTCCCTGAATTGAAATATGGTGCCATACCCCTCATGAAACTCTGCATCTCATAGGGCAATAACATAGAAGGCAGAAATAGAAGTAAAGTTTGATGCCAGACAAATTTCCCAACTGTAAGTGTCTTACCCCAAAGTGTAATGAGATACTTCAGGAGACAGAAAGTTTTCCTTTTTCTGGGAAATTTCCACATGGGCATTAGAAGTACACTTTTAAAATGGAATTCCTGTTCATAGCTGCGTTAGAATAAATGATCTCTGGAGTTCCTTCTATTTCTGAGATTCTGAGATTTTATGATTCCCTGATTCTGGATGCACCCATGAGTAGAATAAATGGAAGGAGGTCAATAATAACAGAAACTGCATCAAAGGGCAAAAAAGGGGCTGCTAGAAAGTGAGACTAAAGACTCAGTCCTTAACCACACTGGAAGTTGAAGCATTAGGGTATATCCATATTAGATTGTTGAACAAGATTAAATGCCAAAGGAAAATTGAGCTTTCTTTTATCTCAATTTCTCCTTTTCAGGTACAATTGTTATGAGAGGTATCCAATCACATGGTCTTATTGATGTTTATGATGTATACCTGGGCTTGAGTTTTCTTCCCAAAGTAGTTTCTAAATCTAGCATCAGAATTTCATGTTGTTGAATGAATATTTTTAAACAAAGTTTTAGTTTAATGTTCTTTTAAAAGTCCCCATTAGTTACACAGAAACCAAGTGGGGACACTTTGGGGAAACAGAGTAGTTCCATTGGGTAAATCAATAACTGGCCTCAGTGAAGGTCAACCAGCTGCAGGCTTTTTCATTTAATTTTGTAAGTTGTAAAAGTACTTGTGTGAGTAACTGAAGAAGACCTAAATTCTCCACTACAATCTGTCTTGTCATACGCTGACCCATTTTTTGGGACGGCCTAGGCAATGGGGTTAAGTGACTTGCCCAGGGTTACACAGTTAGGAAGCATTATGTGTCGGAGACCAGATTTGAACTGAGGGCCTCCTGACTGCAAGGCCAGTACTCTATCAGCTGCGCCACCTAGCTGCTCCAGACTGACCCATTTTTGACAGTCATTATTACTTTTGAAAAGGATAGATGTATGTTTGTGCATTTGAATATCTATTTATCTATCTATCTATCTGTCTATCTATCTATCCATCTACCTATTTTAAATTTAGACAAACTTCTGTTCCCTTGCCTTGCCTTATTTTCTTTGGCTTTTCCTTTCCCTTCCCTTTCTTTCCTATTCCCTTCCCTTCCCATCCCTTACCTTCCATTCTCCTTCACCTTCTGCTTTCCTTTCTGCCTTCCCCCTTGCCTTACCTTTACCTATCTTTCCTTTTTTCTCTTCCCTTTTTTGGGGGTGAATTTGCATCTTCAAGAAACTAGGCAGTCCACTTGTGAGATTTATAGTGAGTATTCAGAAATCACCCTCCTCCACTTTTCTCAGCTCCTTGGTAGGTATTTTTCTCCTTAGTAGCTATTCATTAATGTAACATTTCAGATTGGGTCCAAAATATTTTTTTGCTTACAATCAACTTCATCAGTTTGGCAATTTCCTCCTGGCTCCAGTCTGATCATTTACATCTCTCCTGTGAGCTACATTCACTTTCTCTAATGGAGCTGGGTTGTACTAGACTCCTCAGATTGTGTTGGTTGTACTCCTAGTCAATATGGACTCTTACAAAATAACTTATCACATGACCATGGGAGCTGATTGGTTGAATGGGATAATTTTGTAGTTATTCCATTTAACCTCTACTAATTAAGTACTCTCTATGTAACATGCCACAGATAAAAAGACAAAAAGAAAAAAAAAGTTTTGATCTGAAGGAACTTGCACTCTATTTGTATCTCTAAAAGATATGCAAGTAAGAGATAAATGGAGAAAGTGTATACTGATGAGAAGGAGAATCAGGGTAAGTTTTCCACAGAAGGAATTATTTAACTGAGCCCTGAAGGAATCTAAGGATTGTAAGAGGTTTATGTGAAGAGTGAGAACACTGTGGGTAAGAGGTCCAGCCTTGCTAAGGCATGGAAGTAGGAATAGAACTTTGAGTTTGGCAGATAGCAAGAAGATGGACACTAAAGATTACAAAGGACATTCATGTGAAATGAGTCTGGAAAATGAGGCTCCAGTAGGATCATGAAGGCACTTAAATAGCAATCTGAGGAATTTCTTTTTTATCTTAGAGGCAACAGGAAAATATTAAATATTTTGTATAGCAAAGTAATATAGCCAGACCTGTACCTTAGGGAGATTATTTTGTCAACTGTGGGTTGGAATGGATTGGAGAAGGTTAAGGCAGGGAGATGAATCAGGAGGCTGCTGCAATAGTACAGGCAAAAGGTAGCAATGGACTGAAAGAGGTTGGTGGGGAGAAGGGCACCGATCTAAGAGATTTTGTGGCAGTAGAAATCAGGAAAATTAGCACCACCCTACGGTTCTGATATAAATTAGCAAACACAAAACATTCTAGTTGAATTGGTTTTTCATATTAGATTCAATTTCATCTTAGGGCCTCTGTATCGATGAGCCAAATTCTTTGATTAAAATGTATTTCTGGGTAAAGGCCATTGTACTTCCAAATTAATCTAACATTTTACACCCTTGCCCTCCCAGTATTTAACCATTAAAGTTAAATGTTTTGTTGCCAATATGACATTTGTTTTCTAGTCAACCATGGAGTAACTGAATTAGTATATCACTTTGTAGACTTTTTGTTTTTAGGTCCCAAGACTGGGTTTAACCTGAATTAAATCTATATAAATATAATAAAGACTAGCGCCACGCTGGACTTCCACCATGTAAGAGATTTCTATATATCTATATTACTATAATATTCTAAGGGGGGTTAGGTATATATGGGTGAACATATGCATGTATGCATGTATATTTATACACACAACATATATGTATACACATACACATATATATATATACATGTATACATTGCCATCTATGTCTTTATCCCATACATGTCTTCATATCTTTATGTGAGTTTATGTCTATACAGAGATATACAGATATTCATACATAACAATACACATATATTTGCATTTATTTATATTTATGATGTGTAATAACAAAACCTACTTGTTCAATGGCAAAGGGCATTTTAAGGAAGATTAAGAGTGAGTGAAATTAAATAAACAATATCTGATTCATTTTTCAAAGCTAGTTTAAATGAAGCTAATACCAAAATAACTTTCTTAAGCAATAAAAATCTATTTTTAAAGTTTTTAATTAAGACTTTTCTCTCCCAACTTGTGCTTAGGGAGGTTGCATTTCTCAAACTGAAGAAATTTCCTTCAGAACACAGTTGGGCAGGTATATTCATCTGGATTTTATAGAGCTGATTCTCTCAAGGAATTTTGATGGTGGAAGCTAGTAACCTGTTTATTGCTTCTTTTTTTCCCCCCAATATGGCAGAAGTATATTTTAGCACAAATATCAGTATGGTTTTCTCATCAAATAATGGATAACTGGACAACTAGGCTCCTGTGCAAGAGTAGTGGGTAACTCCATTAACCACTTAGATGATTGCACATCCTTGAATTCTGCTCAAGCTTTCACTTTCCTGCACTCCTGCTGGGCAAGAGATGTCCTGGAGATAAGGGTAATTCCTATCACTTTTGTCATGAGATTTTATTCCTCTTGGTGTAACTTACTCAAGGTTGTCTCTGATGATGACATGAGTTTAATACTAGCGTTCCCCTTTGAAGCTTAATTCCCTCCTTCTCCAGGAGGAATTGAATAAATTAAGAGCTGTCTATCACCTTGGCCCTGAGAGCTGACTGGGCATTTCCTAATTATTTACCCAATCAGCTTGGCTTCTTTCCAGACCTCTTAGTCTCTCAAAGAGCCACTTCCCGTACCTTTCAATTCAAACTCTAACACTGATTAACTTGTCAGGTCCAAAAAGAGGAGGTGTTTTTCTTTCCTTAAACACATTTTCACTTTTAATGTGAAGGGTTTTCTTATGCTTTAATTGAATTCTCTCACGTTGTTTCCTAACATTGCCAGGTGACATTTTCCAAGTAAAACAATGACAGATGTTCTATCGCTGAGCAACTTGATGATTCAGGTGACCTGACAGCATCAGGGGGAAAAGCAACAAAAATAGCTTTGCAAAATAACATGCCCACTTATGTGGAATGCATTTTCCAGACCTGTAAGAAAAGATGTCATCACCATGGAGTTGGGTGATATTTGGAGGTTTCCCATAGCTTGGCCTAATTATTTCTGCCAGTGTCGTGACGTGGTAAGACTTTTCCATTAGTGGTATAGTGAAAGAGTGTGGTCACAAAGACAGACAGGGGATTAATCATATACCTGATACCTGGGAAATGGGTTCCATATAGGCCAAGGAGGTCTTCCCTTTATTTAATTGATTCTGTCTCTCAGTTCTCTTATGTTTTCTGGCTGGAATTCCAATAGTACAGCATTTTGCTGCTAGCAAAAAAAGGTAATTATTTGTAGGTCATACTTTTATGAACCTCAGCCTTATGCTTCACATACAACTCTAAAATTCGATAATCAGGTTTCCCAGTCTATAGTGTATTAGAAGCTTTTTTAAAACTTCCTCACACTCAAGTAGATGCAGGGAACCACTCTAATGCTACCTTATATTGATTTTGTGTGTATGTGTATGTATATTTTTACATTCAGTTTTCAGCTTGACATGTTTGCATTTTCTAATGAGCCGGTATGAAAAAAAATGAACATCACTGGCTTACTGTGTCAGTTCTTCGATGTTCTGCTCCACAAGCGTTGGAGGCACATTGGAGACAATGACTTGCATGTCCAACTGATTGACCACAGATACCTGAAAAGCACCAATGCAAGGGTGAACAGACCTTTCCGTGTGCACATTGGTATAACACAAAATTCCAAACTATGTTCTTGTCTTCCCTAACATTTCTAGACATGATATCTCCTCATTTTACATTAAGAAAAAATCAGTTAAGAAATCTGTGCAGTTGTGTATTCACCAATCAAAAAGCATGCATTCCTTAACTATTGTGCATCAGACCCTATTGCAGGCATGAGACACAAATGAAAACATTAAAGAAAATGCATTTCTTTCACATTGGAGAGGAAAGAAGGACACAACAATTGAAAATAATATTAATAATAATAACAGCTAGCATTTTTGTAGTGTTTTCATTTTTTTTTTTTTGGATGATGGAATTGGGGTTAAGTGACTTGCCCAGAGTTACACAGCTAGGAAGTGTTATGTGTCTGAGGCTGGATTTGAATTCAGGTCCTCCTGACTAACTGCCACCTCTATAGTATCTTAAGGTGAATATCATTTCATTTTATCCTCAAAACCCTGATCACCATTCTCGTTTTATAGATCAGGAAACTGAGGCAAGCAGAGATTCAGTAACTGGCCTGGATCATACAGCTAGTAAGTGTCTGAGAGTAGATTTGAACTCAAGTCTTCCTGATTACAGGTTAAATGCTCTATTCATGGTGCCACCTGAGGCCATGTGGCAGAAGTAGCATCATAGTGGACTTGATGTCAGGAAGACTTGAATTCTAATCCATCTAATAATGGTAGATAGAAAAATAGATGATAGAAAGATGATCTGTATACACACAAACATACTACATTTATGTGAAAATAAATGAATAAAAAGGGATTACTCTTTCAGTTCTTTGAAATTTTGCTCTACAAGTGTAGGAGGGACCTGTCTGGTCATATTGATGCATTTTTAACCATAATGTACTCCATTTTCACCTCTGCTTTTTAGAATGCCTTGTTTCTTTCAAAACAGCTCAGGTATCACCCTCTACATAAAGCCTTTCTCTCTTTTCTTGTCCCCAGTTGGGTAGAAGTGACATTTCCCTACAGAGTAACATTTATGTGTTGTCATTTATGTATTTCATTTTTATATACTTTATTGTTTAATTTATACACACATGTACATATTGTCTCTATCCATGGGCACTGAAATTTAGAGGGCATACACTTTAAAATATTTATTCTTTAAGATTGTGAATTAAAGAAGTAAATTACATTATATGTACATAGCACATGCACTCCTTTAGTAGTGTAGAAATCACTAAATGGACTAACTAGTTTGCTGTACCAATGAATTGAAATAGGATGCTACCATATGTTAACCACACTCATTCATGCCCTATTAATTGCCCTTCCTTCTCAAGGGATTTTTTTCTTAATCACTTTTTGTATTATTTTTTTTACATCATGGATAAAATGTTGACTGAAGATTCCATTTCTTGCTGACTTGTCTGTCTTGGGAGTCAAATTTGCTAACTATAAACCTGTTTACAGGTGACATGTCAATTGACCAGAAGCAGTGTTTATGGTGACAAACATGACCACCTTCTTCCTCATTCTTATAATGTCAGTCTTGTCATCTTTAAGAAGAAAGAACTCCACAAAAGAAGACTGATGCTGGGAAAGGAGCTCTCATTTTCATTTTGTCTGAACAAACAATGACTGGGTCAAAGTGGGAGACCTTGAGGACCTCACAAAGGGCCTTAAGCTGGGAGGGACATTTTAGGACATCTAATCCAACCTCCAAGGGTGACATGACTGCCTGGGACCACACAGGGAGCAGTAAGTCACTGAGCTTGGCTTCAGAATCAACTTCTCTGCCTCCTACACTAAGCTATCTCACAACCATGGCAGTGAGTTAACCAATAATTTTCAACCATGTAAATGTGTGAAATGATCTTAATGATTGTGAGAAATGGTATTTTCTTTACTTTCACATCATATTAGACATTATGCCTAGTCCTGCAGAACAGGAAAAGTTAGAAGTTACAATTAAATGTAACTTGCCTCCCTCCCCCACCTGTAAGATTCATTTTAGCATGTCCCTTTCCAAAAGCCTCTTCCACATGGGGCTGTCTTATTGTTTACAACTCCCTGTTGAAAAATATCAGAGTCCATTTTATTACTGCAATTGAATTTATCACACGCATATAAAGCTTTACATAAGCAAATGATTAAACAAATGAGGGGATTTTAAACTGGTGCTGTCCATTTTGGAGGTGATGATCCAAGATTTACAAGGCGTTTTGCTTTCACAAGGCATTTGCATTACAGCCCTGAGTCAAACATACACAGAACATGTGTATTCAGCACATATAGATTGCTCTGCTGTACTAAATGCTCTGAGTATGTGCCCACACACTTGCCCAAATTAACTTTCTGTACGTTGATCACTGATCAAAGTTTCAATTTCCACACCACTGCTCTGACCTGGGATTCTTGATGATTGGAATAGCTGGTCATGGTTGAGGCAACTTATTCAATCAGAAACTGCCGTAATTGATGTCGGCATGACTGAGCTCTGTGAATCATGTTACGATTCCTTAAAATTGAGTTTAAGTTCCTTTGCAAATCAATTTTCCAGAGTTTGAGGACATAATTTTATTCTCCTGCAAAGTTTTCGTGATATGAAAATACATAGCATAGAAACTTCATACCTGTTTTTGTGACATATTCCCTGTCTAATCTTGATGTTGGTATTTAATATTGCCTAGATGGCTCACCTTTATAATATTTCCATTGCACCTGCTGATTTCCAAAGAATTGTGACCTTGTGGGACTTTTGTAACAAGAACAGGAATGACAACATTATACCAAGTAACATTCACAAAACTCAAGAATATCCTGCATGTATATCATGTTTCCTACTTCCCAAGGCATTATGACCTTATCCAGTGACATAATAATAGTCAGTCCATTTGTCCATTTCTATTGGAGCTGTGTGTTGCAGAGTTAAGGGTATCAGTATGCATAATTATAATGGTGATTTTACTTCTTCATTTTCTTTTCATTCATTCATTTATTCATTGATTCTTTACCAACTTTCCATGAAACTGGGTGGACTGAGGATCTTTTTGTTTGTTTGTTTTATTTTGTTTTGTTTTGTATTTTAGGCAATTGGGGTTAAGTGACTTGCCCAAGGTCACACAGCTAGTAAGTATCAAGTGTTTTGCTTGAGGCTGGATTTGAACTCAGGTCTTGCTGACTTCAGGGCTGGTGCTGTATCCACTGAGCCACCCAGCTGCCCCCTGACTGAGAATCTTTGCATGTGTAATAACAACTGACATAGGCACATATTGACCCAAATGTTCCAAATTATTTGCATAAAATTTCTTACCTTATCCTAACTGTTTGATGCTTAAGGAAATCAAATCTCAGAGAAGCTAAGTGACTTACCTATGGTTCTATAGCCTGTAAGTGTCACAGATATGATTTGAACCCAGGTCTTCCTGACTCAAGTTCAGCCCTAAAGACTACACCAAGCTGCCCCTGTTATCAAGAAAAAAAGAACTAGGGAGACAGTGTGGTACAGAAGAATGAGCAATACCTTTGGATTCAGAGGATCTGTATTGAAACCCTGCCAATGATACTGAGTACCTGTTTTGATGATGAGCAAGTCATATAAACTTTTTGAGACCCACTTTCCTCATTTATAACAGCAAAAAAAAAATACCTAGCATTTATGCAGTTTTAATATTAGTTGTGGAATTGCTTGTTTTATTCCATAAACATGTATTAATGTAAAAAAGGGAAAATAATTAGCATTTATACAATGTTTGGATGTTTTCAAAGTGCTTGAAACATATCCCATTTTATCCTCAGCAACAATGAGAAATAGCTGCTATTATTATTCCCATTTTACAGATATACAAACTAACTCTGACCTGTTTTGGGCTAAGTGACCAGGCATGCTAATTGATTCAAAAATATTATTATAATTTCATTTTGAAATAACATTTTAATCTGATTGTATTTTCTTTGCCTTATGGATCAAAAATGTGCTGCATCAATATTCTCAACATTATTAAATTCCCTTCTTTCTAGTTTTTAAGTACTTCGCAGTCTCTCTCATGTAACCTGCCCAGGCTTATGCATTACTTCCCTTCACGCTTTCTATAGTTGAGCCAATATGAATTTCCTGCTATTCACAGCCCATCCTATTACCTATTTCTCTACCTTTGAACTTCAATTTACTGATAATTAACAAGGCACTCAGAGAAAGCAAGGATGGTTTCCACCATTTTGGCTCAGCACCATGAGTGGATGGTGGATCTTAGTTCTTGGAAGCAACACAGCCGTCGGTGAGATGACAGATCCATTGGTTGGATGAAATATAGAGTGATTTCCATTGTTTTAATTTTTGCTGGCCAACTACAGGGAAATCCACTTTCATTTTAACTCATTATTAAATTAAATATTAAAACATGATCTTACCCTTGAAAGGAAATTAAAAAAAAAAGACAACTTCCCCCAAAAAGGACAAAATCATATAAAAAGAAAATAACAAACTAGCTTGTGTTATTGAAATCATCCCAAGCAGAGCTTCTCAGGTTCTTCAGTCCATGTTAATGACGCTCATGATTGAAGGCAGAATCACATTTAGGGATTCTAAAGAATTTCTGAGACATTTTTGGTCTCTTCTTTAAACTGAGATGTTTCCAATGCTATTTTTTCCATGGTATAGCCTTCTCACCTTCACTGCCATATCCACTCCCCTCTCTCCCAAACCATTTCCCCACCATAATTTCTCCAACATCCTTTCCACTTACCAGGACATCAGCTTTGCCACTAAGTCCTTTCCCATAATCATCTGTTGCAACGACCTGGAACTTGAAGTAGGACCTTCTCATGTTTTTGAACAGCATGGCAGTCTTTATAAGACCTGTGTATGTCTCCACCACAAATCCTTCCTTTCCCTCTTTAATTGGAGGTATGATAAGTCTGTATGCCATGGAACTATAATTACCGGTGTCTTTATCAGTTGCCTACAAAGAAAAGCAGAAGAGAAACTGAATATGAAGAAAAATAGTATTTATATTTATATTTAGTGGTGCAGTGAGTAGTGTACCATGTTAGGAGTCAGAAAGACTGAGTTTGAATTTGGAATCTCTCACTTACATACCTGTGCTAGGCAGGTGATTCAATTCAATAAGCTTAAATGACTCGCCTGTACCAGTCAGTGAGCTGTGCCTATTGCTAAAGGCTTGCTTTCAGTTGATTCTCTGTGCCTCAGTTTCCATCTTTGTAAAGTATAAGTTTGGACCAGGGGACCTCTGAGATACCTTACAATGTTGTGTAAGTGGTTATATGATTATACCTATTGAATGAAAGCCACACTACCTTTGCATCTTCCAGGTAACAGTTCTCAATTTTGTGATTTTGTAAATTTAAATTGTCTTCGTTAGGAACTTGACAAACATCAACAAACATAAAAATTTCCTTAAATGAAGAATAGAAAAAAAAGAGGGTTGGATGTGACCCCACGAAACTCTGTTATGGAATAATTTGTTTTTAAGTATATATTAAAGTTAACACTAAAGCATATTGCCTGCCTGTGTGTCCCCTAACTGAACTACTCTGAGTATCTTTTAATGTTTTGTTGAGAGTCATTTCTTTCTTTTAGTGCTTTACAATGTGTGAAGGGCATATCACAACAACCTCATGAGTAGGAAGTGCAAGATTATTGTCTTGCCCCCTACCCCATTATATGGATGAACCAAGGCTGAGACATGTTAAGTCATTTCAGATGGTATAGCTGTGAAATGATGTAGTTGGAACCTAAAACAGTTCTTATGATTCCTATTCCAACATCTTTTCCATCGTCTGCTTGTTTTTCTGAATCTGATTTTGTACCTATCTATCTATCTACTGACTTAATTATGTACCTAGTTATTTTTAGATTGGACCTATGATTTTGTTGGCATAGGGAAAAGAAACTCTCTTTAGTGTTGCAGATTAATGCCTAGAAAATAGCTATATTTTCTTGATTGTCTGCATGGTGATTAAATCAATGAGTTGGAGGGCCGATTCCGTTATTTTCACTGTCTTCTCTGACCAACTGGTTCTGATTGACTCTTGTATAGAAACAAAAGATCCACATTGGTTGTTCCACATTCCATTGGTTTCTGTGGATGAGACCTGGGTTGTGATGTGTGTGTGTGTGTGTGTGTGTGTGTGTGTGTGTGTGTGAACCTGGAAGGTTCCTCAGAGACAAATCCTAAACATACCTGACTGAAAATCACCCTGCAACACCTTCCAAAATTGGTCACGTCACAGTTTCTTTGAAGACTTTCATGAAGAGATATCTCACTACTCCCCTCGCTGACAAGAAGCCCTGTTTTAGCTTTGCTTAGCACTAATTGTTAAAAAGTTTCTCCTTACATTGATCCTAAATCTGTCTCTTTGTAACTTCCACCTATTGACTCTAGAACTACCTTCTGGAACCAAGTACAATATGTCTGTTTCCTCTTTCATTTAAAAAACATTCAAATACATGAAGAAAGCTATCATGGTCCTCCCAAGTCTTCTATGGGGTGAACGTCTTTGATTCATCCAACCATTCCCCATATGGACTGAAGGTACCTTCTTGGATGGCCCATCCCCATCCCTAGGATACTGAGTGGGGAGGGATATGGCCAATGCAGGAATTTGTTTGAATCAGCTCTCCATATTTTTAATAGGCTTTATTTTTCTTGTTTTCTCAATGGGTGGGGGAGAGGGAGACTGGAAGGAGAAACAATTTAAAATGAAAAAAAATTGAATTAATTTAAAAATGGTAATGTTACATATATATACACATATGTATGTATGTGTGTGTGTGTGTGTGTGTATATATATGCATATATATTTTTAAATAACTTTCATGTGTATTAGCTTCAGGCCAGCTTCCTTCTTCCATAAGTCATTTGTTCAAAGTAATCCTGAGAGTGGAGGTCCCATGGGGTTGTAGAAAGAGTGCTGCTGGGCCTGAAGTGAGGAAGACTAGGCCTGAGCCTTAACTGTGATGCTTAATTAGATGTGAAATTGTGGCCAAGTCACTTTATCTCTATGATGCTCAAGCATCTTGCTAAGCTTAGAGGGTAGGGTAGGTCATGAGCAGCACTGGTCCAGGGAGTTCTTGTGATAACAAAATTAACATTTAAAGTTGAGATAGTCTGAAATATCCTTTGTGGGTATAAATTTAGGATACTATGATTCATATTTTTTAGAGAGGGGACTGAGGCTCAGCATGGTTAAAACAGTTATTTAAGTTTTGGAGATGATATTAGAAATTGGGTCTCTGCAGATTCCAAGGCCAATGCTCTGTCCACTGCCCCGCCCTGCCTTTCCCAGGAGAACATCATGCTTAGTAGGAACAGATATCCCACACTTGTCCTCTGAATTTTATTTGGAAGAAACATTTAAGCCATGGGAGCCCAGGAAGATGTTGCAGACATTTATACGGTCCTGCCCCAAATCACCAGCTCATATTATTAGCACCAAAGGAGACAGAATACTCTCATTATTCTTTTTAAAATTCAACGATGCGTGAAATGATAAATAAAATGCATTTAAATTCAGATTTTAACTATTCAAGATTTTTCCAAAATTCTAATGACCAAACATGAAGTCCTCTCTATACTTGTTCAGAAATTGCCTGCAATTTTTGTGCTTCTAATGGTTACAGATAGCTTACCCGAAATCATCCATAATGGTCCAGATGAAATCCCAGAGAATATATGTAATCAAAGCATAAAGACTGAAGCTATTTACTAGAGCAGCTAAAGTCAATGACTTATTAAGTTACATTTGTTTGGATGTTTTGGGCTGATTCACTTTAGTTTTCAATAAGTAACATAACTTCCCACAATGCCAGACTTGGTAGGGAACTTAGAGGCCATGTAGGTTAACCCTCAGAAGATGAGAATGAAGATGACAGAGGAAAAGTGACTTGCCCCAAATCATGAATCATAGATTTCCAAGTGAAAAGGGCTGTAGAGGTCAACTGGTCAAATCCTTTCACTTTACAGATGAAGAGACTGAGGTTCAGAGAGGGCGTGGGATTTACCCAGTGCCATATATGACTTGGAGTTGGACTAGAACATGGAAGGCATCTAATCTGATCTTCTCATTGTACAGAAGGGAAAACTGAGATTCAGAGAGGAGAAAAGACAATGTCATAGATCTTAGGTTCAGAACTGGAACAGAGGTCATCTAGATTAATTTTTTTTTTCATTTTCCAGAGGATATTGAGGGAGAAATCACTTGTCCACAATTTACATTTGAACCCAGGTCCTCCATTTCCAATGACTTTTTCCTTGTCCATATCTCATTATTTATTCATTTTTTTAGGACACCAAAATTGCTGCTTTTACTTCACCGGATTTACTTATTTTTCAATTAAAATCAGGCCAGTGGCTTTATTTAGCATGAGCCTTCTGAAATGATGGCACCTTGTAAACAAATACTGGGACCTAACATGAGTCATTTTTATACAGAAACATGAACTTTTCTCTTCATAATTTTTCACAGTGCCTTTTCATTCTGCCATCAGAGAACATAAATTTACAAATAAAAATTCATTCGCCTACCAGTCGCACATACTAGAGTCATGCACAATTAAAAATGGAAGGCTTACTTTTGCCTATGAATTCTAAGCAGTTCTGTTTTAAATTTGCAGATATAACTCTTAAGGTAAGGACTTTGAGATGGAGGTTCTGAATCTCATTTAAAATCCATGAAGCAAGACTGATAAATGGCCATCTTTGTCTGGTTTTGGCATCTGGATCTATATCACTTTTAATGTAACTTTGATTCTAAAGTACTTGCGGGATAGTGTAGGTGCAAGAAGATTTTCTAGACCTGCAGAGGACTACAGCTAGGGAAGCTCGAATGCTCAGGGTAGTATGGTGGGATAAATTAGGTCTACAATTACACACTTGGGTTCTAATTTGCCACTTACAACCTCTGATATCTTGAGCAAACACTTCCTCAATTTATTCAATGGTAAAATGAAGGGTTCGGACTAGATGACCTTTAATATTTTTTTGAACTCCAAATCTATAAGGCTATGTCCTCTAAAGTCCCTTCTGGCTAGTTCAACTTTCTCATTTTATACATGAGGAAATAGTGGGAAATGAACTTGAACCCCTAATTCCCATAGTTCAACCCAGGAATCTGGCATCTATTTCATAGCTCCGTGCTCTTGTTGCCATCACTACTTAATCACGTCATTTTAAAAAAGGAATTTTGATTCACTTTACAACATTTTTATCTTTGGATTTGGCTCAAAATTAATCATAGTTAGCATTTCTTAAGTGTTTTAAGGTTGGCAAAGGGTGTTACAAATACTATCACCTTCCCGCCCCCCCCAACAACAATGCTGGGAGGTAAACACAATAATTATCCTCATTTTATAAATGAGGAAACTGAGGCAGACAGATGGTAAGTGACTTGCCCAGGTTCATTCAGCTAATAAGTGTCTAAGGCAGGATTTCAATACAGTTCTTCCTGACTCCATGCCCAATGTCATTCATACTTCGCCACCTCACTTTTATTAAACCTTTCATTTTATTAAGCCCTTATCATGTGCCAGGCATTGGCCTAAGCACCAGGGATACAAAGACAAGAATCCCCTCAAATAGCTTATGCTATATCACCTTATGTTCTTTTACCTCTGACTCTTATTGTATGTCCTATGCTAAATCGTGTCACCTTTCTTTACCTTGGTTTCTTCATTTATAAAATAGTGACATTCATACATATAGTGCCAACATTATAGGGTTAGTTTGAGATTCAAATGAGATATTGTGTATAAAGGGCTTTGAAAAATTCACAATGGTATATAAATGCCAGTTATCATTAATATTGCCAAGTACACCACATTAGCATAACATCATATAGTTAGCAATATAATATGCACTTTATGAATTTGAAATGAAAAGCTATTAATGGGGGAAATATGACTTAGAATAGTAGAATCTCAAGTTATAATCTACATGCAAAT